AGGAATTTAATAAAAAATCCTAACCATGCATATTAAAATTTGTTCAAAGGCCATTTCTTCAGCCTGTCTCAGTATATTTTGTGGACATAATCTCTTGTTCTTATTTTCTCAAACCTGCCTTATCCAAATACCACCTCACCTGCCATTCTTCTTGTCTTTTGCACACTTGTCGCAGTCCCTTACTGCCCACCTCCCCACACGGGCAATTTATTGTTGGGACAATTGGTTTGTCCCTGATGTTTACACGTGACAGCATATTTGCATAATTTCAGTCTGCTCTCCATCTTCCTTCAGCCTTCAGATGAAGATATATAATTTCTCACTTCCTCCTTTGCTCACATTATCTGCGAATTCTCACTTTCCCTGCATTGTTTAACTGTCACCTGTTGAATATTTTCCACTGTCAGTTTTCTGTTCCATGACAAATATAATCATTCTAATACAGCTGAATTTTTTTTTCTGTAGATACTAGGATAGAATTGGGGTGAAATTTTGTTACATTTAAAAAGCAGTTCTGTATATCATAGAACTTTTCAGAGCCTTTCCACTCTTAGCAGCATTACTGAATACAGACTGACATTTTGGCATGATACACTGCATATTTTCTTTTGTATCTCTAGCTTCTACAGAAAGAAAGACTTCTTAGAGAGGCACAAGAACTTCTCCTCTTCATAGCCTATGCTTTTTCTGGGATGCAGAAGGTGAAAGTCTCCAGACTTGCTGTACAATCAAAACAACCTGCAGGTAGTATGTTAGTAACAACTGAAAGAAAGTAAATAGGAATATATAGATGCAAATATATACAGAGGTTTTTTTCTCCATTCAAATCCTCCCTGAAATTCAGGATGAAATATTTACTAAGAGCTACATCCTCATGTACAAGCTGAAGAGGCTCACCTGCACCACTCCTCTGCCTTTGCCTATGAGAGAAGATAGAGTTGTAAGAGAGTTTCAACTTCTAAAAACATCAGGGTTAGAAATTTATATGGACCTGTGTTTTAAGATCTGGAACTTATCCAGTCTTTCATTCACAATCAGATTCTGTATCCCAGTAATAATTTGAAAATAAATTAAGTAAATCTTAAGAATCTAGGAAAAAACCCTCAATCCATCAGCCAGAAATACAGGAAAAATCAATTTGCATTTTATCAGTGTTATACTCACATCAGATCTTTACGCAGGTCATTGCAATCTGATTCATGTAACAGCAAAGATTCCCAAAACTCTATCCTATTTGCACAATAGCAGAAACTACCCAAGTCGTATGACAGTGTATAACATGCACCAATAGCACAGCTTGTAGGCTGATCTTATTCAGCTTGTAGGCTGATCTTTATGTCATAAAAAACCTGACTGTGTTGAAAGGACTTTTCTCAGGACATTGTTAGTTTCAGTTTCATGCTGAATGTACACTGAGCTCATTTCTCTGCATTGCTGAGAATGTGCACGCATCCAACAAAATTATACAAATCACTCTGTAAAATCTATGTGCTCAAATTCTGCTTTTGATTATACCCATGATTTTCGGTGGGTTTATAACCATTTAAAGCAGTGTACAGCATTGGCATCTGAACTTGCATTTACTAGGACTGTTGTACCTTCATCAAGTTACAGTTTCTTACTTTCATCAGATTAATTTTACAAGAATTCGTCAAGCAATTACCTAATATTTGCAGAATCTATTTCCTCTTAATTTTTATCTAGGTTGATGTTATTACAAAAAAAAAAAAAATCACTATGAGGCTAATCAAACACTTCAGTGACGTTGTGAATCTCCATGCTTACAAATGCACCAAACTTTACAAGACAAAGCCTGTGCAATTGTTTTTACGATGTCATTGCTTTGAGTGGAAGATTTGATTAGGTGACTGATAGATCTCCTTCTGATATAAAAGTATTTTTTTCTATCAAACAGTTTTATCAATGGACACATCTTTTCATTTTTCATCACTCTATCTTTTAATTTATGATGACATAATGAGTGAATTTTAATTTATGATGTCATAATGAGTGAGAGACATAAAAGAGATACAGATGTGTTTGTGCTACACATTCTCTTTTGTCTCCTATTAGATTCTCACTGCTTGCAAGAATTGTGCTCTACCTCAACACAAAAAATGATTGTGGCTTTACTCCTGCAAATCCTAGCTGGTTTGGGAAGATGTATGATGATTGCCTGCCTCACAGTTCCTGACTGATTTATGAAATTATGTCTCCTGCTGCCTAGTGCAGAGCAAACTAGCTCAACAAAACCACTGTTACATTACTTTATTCTTCTTCAGTAAGCTTATCATGTGTAGCCCTGTCACACAAAGTAATTCACGAGTAGTCTCACCTTTTCCCGGAAGAGCTCCAATGACTTCTTTGGCAGAAGTCAATGATTTGGATGACAGAAAAGAAACACCAAAGTTACTTCACAATCACCATCACCATCTTCTGCTCATTCTGAGCTAGTTCTGCCTACAGTATGTTTTCTTCATGTGTTCCCGTACTGGAACAAGGAACAAGCTCAGTGAAATCGCCCAAGAATCAGTGACTTGCCTTGGGCATCACAAGAACCCAATAGCATCTGACTTGCCTGGCACAATCATATACTTGCAGAGCCAGAAAAATATGGAGAGAGAGAGAGACAGTGAATCTGGGACAACATGCTGAAAAAACAGAAGTCCTACTGTTAAGGTCTGCAAAAGCAGAAATTCCACTCTTAACGCCTCTGTTGTTTTCCTGTCTAGCCCATGCTTGAATGATGCACCATTGGAATTTTTTTAACCAAAGGGGAAAAGGGACACAGTCAAAAGTCCTGCAGTTCTGCTCCATGAAAAGCTGTGCAGGTCAACAGCAATTATTCTATTTTTCATATTATTAGATCTTTATTGGAATTGTAATTGTAAATAGCTTTCATATTCTACAACATTAAATGCCACATCACAAAGCAGGCCACCACACCGGTTCATAGTTACATTTGTAAAATAAATGAGTCCTGAACTGAAATAGCAATAAGCCAATTTTGATTGTGCACATGAACCAGGCTTTTCTGAGCACTTTTGAAAATCTAATAATGCTTGGGTACTAGGAAGTAAAATGCAGCTTACTGAAGCTAAGTCTGCTCCTGCTTGCTGCTGTATTTTGTCTTCCAGATATCCGAAAACACTGAAGCATCATGCAAATGTTTTTAATGGAAGGAAAAAAATGTTATTACACATATAGTGTTTAACTACATTTTTTGTCTTAGGATAGGAAGGATTTCCACTTACCTAGTTCTCATGAACTAAATCCTCTATTTTCACTTTGATGTGTATTATCCCTGCGTAATGAGCAGAAAATACTTTACCTGAAACCACTTATGGCATTGAAGGACAAACATGTGGGCCTGTCTCCCTGTATTCATAAAAGTGAAGCCACAAAACTTAAATTCTACTAAAAGCTTAATTTCTAAAATAAGATTAGACAAGTTCAGCCTTGTATTTCAGAGAAGTATAAAAGAGAGCTTATTTAGTAAGGGCAGAGCTTTTTGCTTTACCTGTTATTCGCCTCATGTCCTGCTTTTCTAAAGAAGTAGCAAAATTTTATGCTTCCCATCAACCACTCAGGAATTCAAGCACTGTCATTTTAGAAGTTAGGGTTCAGCTAAAGAATTTCTATTTTTATCCCCTCATTTCATTATCTTACTCATCTGATATACAGCACTTTCAACAGTAACTTGCCCTTTCTCCTACTGGGAAAAGAGAAATGTAACAGTTCTTGTTGTAGAGTACAGTTTGATAAAGACATTAACTTCAGTTCCGTAACACTAAGCAAGCACTGCTTTGCAAAGGCTTATAAGAACTAACAAGAGGAGACTTCTTCACTTTTACTGTAATATGCACACAACTGTCCAGTCCCAAACAGGAAGTAGAAAGTGAAAAGGTTATCTTGTCTGGAAAGGGAATTATTTATGTGGTGATATGATTCTATATTTTTGTGCTGAGTCAGTACTTTGTCTACAAATGGTCCTGATATTTCAAAAACCTCTCTGTAGATAATTAAAATCTGGCTATCACCTTCAATGACACCTAGATTCAAAATGCATGTTGGGAAGCAGGAGGAGATATTCAAGTTCACATGGTAATCTTGAAGAGTCAAATGGGAATAATCAGTATCAGAATACACGAGGTCTGCAATGAATCAGGGAAATGACTCTGTAGTAACTATTTTACTGAACTGTGGTTGACCAACCCCATTATGATTCTTACAGACATTTCTCTATTCTACTAAAGAGGACAGCTTTCTCAGATTATTAAACACAACCTTGCATTAGCTACTTTGAATACTGCCAGCAGAGAAGCCCTGGCATTCACAAATGAGGACTGTGTCCACATTCTTGGGACTGCACAATACATTATTTATTTTCAAATGAAAAATAAAATCTGAGTCCAATGAGATTCCAGTTCTCTGCCATCTGTTCTTTGTGGGAGCCATTAGAGGAAGGTCATGGCTGTAGACTCTCTCCTACACCTAAACTTTAGATACTGTTTTTTCTCAGAAATATGCAAATAGAGCTTACACTACTTGCTGACAGGTTAAGGAAAGCAGGAAAAACCACAAGAAAAGCAAAACATGTTTTATTAAAAAAATACAATTGTGAATACCATTGTAATACATTTTTTTCACCTGTGTATGATCCCCCCCACAAAAAGCTAAGCACTTAGCAAAATGTAGACAACAATAACTTGTGAAACGGGAACCAAGAACAGGTTTCTTCAGCATTTCTATGTAATCACATGTGCAGTTATTTCATGTCCTAGAAGTAAGAATGTTTTCCTTTTCCCATTCCCAAGAAAACAAAATGATAATCTAAAGCAAGGGCTGTTTTTCCTAAATGTCCAAAGAATTGTATTATCCCCAGACTGTAAATCAGAAGACAGTGAGCAGCAACCAAGTAGTGCCAGCAATATCATGAGGAAATTAAATGCCCACAATGCTTTTCAAAGAAAAGCTTAGTATTATTTAATTTCCAAACCATAGTTACCAAGAATTTTAAATCATCTTTTTCAGGCTTAGCTGAGAGCATCTGGTATTTTAATACTGAAAATGCCCTCCATGTATGGCAATTCGTGTTGTTGCACCTTTTATGAGGATCAAAGTATTGAAAAGATTCTTTAAACTATGGAAAACCAGTTATGTGCAGGAAATTGTGAGCTCTGGTGAAGAAGGAAGAAAAAAAGGTTCAGAAGATGACCTATCAAGAGCTAGCTATGAAATTCATGATGGTCATAGACCTAAAGTGCTTTACCTGAAAGATACATTTAATTAAATGAAATCTTTGAAAGATACATTTGCCTAAACTTGAGAAGGTAGAAACTTTGATGTTTAAATAAATACCTCACAATCTCGTCACATATACAGAATCTATTCAATATTTTTTATGCTATAATAATTTTTTTAACTTCCTTAAATTTTTCCTGTGTTACAACAATATAGAAGATTGCCATCCCACAATAAATACAAAAAAATAATATCCCCTTCAATATATAGAACACAGAACATTTGAGCTGACAAATCTTCACAATAGAGGGAAAAAGTCTTCCCCTGTTCTCTCTAGGTCTTCTCAATTTGCATATCTGTAACAGGAAGAATTATATGAAAAAATTATCAAATTACAAAATGATGAAGGCACAGAACACTTCACAGTTTTGCACCCCTTTCCTAGAGTATGAAGGTACCAAAAAGTTTCCTTCATCTAAAATTAAATTAATTAAAAGATCAAACAGGAAAAGATGGTCATGGGAGTAAATAAAAGCGGTAGTTCAAACATACAACAGTGTGGGAAGTGCTCTTTAGCAAATACAGTGAGATTGCTGTTGCTCAGGTCCCCCTTTCTTTCAAAACCTTTTAAAATTCTTTTAAATACATTTAGTGCTCCCTCTGTCAGTATTCCCAGCGGCATATCCCCAGACCCTAACTCTTGTGCTTGGAGATCTACACCTGCAGGACCAGCAGGCTTACCTGTAAGTTTACTGTAGTAAAGTGTAGCAGGGAGGGATTTGGGATGCAATTAATTGAAGTGCTTTAGAAGTCAGCAAGAAAGTGAGAGAAAAACTTCAATAATTTCACCCTCCTGTTCCACACCATAGGATGTTTCACAGATTTGAGATATTTGATTCATATATTTTCTTGCTTTGTTGAGAGCGAATCACACAGCTTGAGACCTGCTCAAGTAGCTGTGACAGGTTCCTGTCCCCTCCTTCACTGCCACCACCACCCTTACAGATATGCATGAACAACTCTTTCTATAGCAAAAGTGCAAGCTGGGAAAAGCGACTGGTTTGGGGTTTTATAAATCTCCACATCATATTTTCCTTCATATATCTTTCTATTTTAAAAACTAGATTCATTCTTTGATGTAACGAACAGTACACAATGAGTTATGATGGTGAGTTTGTAAGACACAGAATGCAAAGCTGTATTATCTCTTGAAGGCTCTGTCTGTTGAAACAAGAGGCTAAATAAACCAGTCCTTAATCAATGCTCCAGTGACCAGGATGGTTTATGCTGTGTAAAATTTGCTACTAATTTTTCCTTCATCATTTATACTTACATTTCAGCTCTCTGTCTTCAAAAGAAGCATCTCTGCAGTTGTGTGTATCCTTATCTTTTGCAAGTTCTGTAAGCAAAGGACATATATACACGCAGCAGTGAGCATAGCTTAAACTTTTCCTATAGTGATAGATCTGTGTTAGAAACTGCCACCTCAGGCCACTCAGGATCTAGAGTGACTTGAATGTAGAGCAAGGGATGAGATTAGCAGCAAATGCTGTTTCTGTTTGAGCAAGTACTCTCAAGAGAGCTTTTCTTCAGAAAAATGCCAATAGCCAGCATGAACCAATTTTCACACAGCAATTTAATTTGTGGTGGTCTCCAAATACCCATACCACAACTTAAAAGTAAGTCAGCCAGTAACCATCTTGACAGGCATCAAAAGGATTTTAATCTCTTCTCTCCTGATGTAAATGTTAAGTCTCTTTTCTTCATTTCCTTCAATAGCACCTGTCATGGTGGTGCTGGCCTTCCACTAAGCTTTGCTCATAGTAAATAGCATCAATATCAACACAGAAACTAAAGCTTCCCTGAGTTTCTCTCAACGGGGCCAAACTCTCTGTCACGAATGTTGTGACAAAGACCCCCAAACGCATGCTATGATACTGGAAAAAACAGAGGAATGTGCCAACACAGTTCAAATTGCAGCAAAAAATCTGCACATCAGGATGTGATGCCATTCTGAGCTATTACGTTCCAGGGAGCCTGTCCCATCCTATTGCAGACTTTCCAAAACACAATATACTGCTCTGTCCTTTTCTTGTGCATATCAGGAGTGCATCAGTTCCTGGAACAAGTATGCTTTTCATTCCTTTTGAAAGGATGACACAGTCATGAAAAGCCATTCTTCAATTGTAATTTATAGTTGTTATGTAAATGAAATGTAGAAAGCATTATAAAATAGAATTTAAATCTCCATTTGGTTGTCACCATTACAAAGTTAATTCTCAAGCAAGAGAATTTCTTATTTCCACAAGAATCACACTCTGCTAGATTTATGTCGTATGTACATACTTGCTATTGATGGACTCGCCACAGGTGTTCTGTTGCCCCTATTTGCTCTAGCTGAAACAAAACAAAACAAAACAATTTAAAAACAACCCAAAATACTTGCCTTAGATCTATTGAGGAGCTTAAACACATTGGTGGGAGGGGAACACATTACATAGCCCATTACATTACAAATGTAATAACACATTACATTTGTTCTTAAAATACTAATTTTCTTCCAAAACTCTAAAATAAATTCTTCAGTACTCCCAATCTGTTGGTTTCCTTTCCAACCTCCTTATCTTGTTTCTAAGCTCTGGAACTCCATTGATACTATGAACTAACATCACTAGAAAATACTTGTTCAAATGGTTTCCCACTGCATCTTTTCACCCAGAATTTGAACATATCAGAAAACAGGGAACAGAAAGGGGATCATCTTCTCAGTGCTTTTTGAGGGGAAAAATGCTCACATTCTGGGAAGATTCTGTTCTGAAACAATCACTTGCCCAGTAACCCAGGGCAGCTTAGGATTCAAGATAAAAACTTATTGTCAGTTACAGTGCAAACTTACAGTTTAGCTTTTGAATCAACTTGTAGTTTATCAAACACACACACACTCACACGTGTATGTGTGTATAGATAGATATGAAAGCTAATGTGATGTGCATTATCACACACACACACAAACAATAAATCTTAGTCAAGCAACCTAGGAAACTTCTGACCTTTAATGAAATCCCCAGTGGGATTCTTTTGAGCAGTCAAGGATTTTGCTGTCCCTTCTTCCACTTTCATGTTCTGCTCCTATTCCTATTATGTTCTTAGGGCAAGTATATTCTTATACTTGCAGGATTATCTGCAGTCCTCTTGCAGCCTGTTAGAATCACCTGCAAGCCTGTTAAGCTTATGAATACTTTTCTCAGGACTTTTCCATAGCCACCCCCCTCCCCCACCCAACCTATGAAAGAAAAAGAAATTGACAGTACTTCTTTCAGTTTAAGTAACAAGTTTAAAACTTTTTTTCCTTTATTTTATTTTGGGTGCTAGCTCTAGTCTTTTCATACTCAGACAACCTACAAATTATTTCTTCAAGTTTTTCTTTTGTTAGCTAGCAAGTGAAAACAAATTATTGCCAAACGCTTTAGCTTTTGTACATACTGTGATGCTGAAAATATCCAATATTAATTCAGGAAGTGAACTGAGAAAGCTCAAAACTTAGTAAGGAAATCAATGAAATATTCACTTAAAAAAACAGGTGCTCTCACAGTTCAGTAAAATTCTCTATTTCAGAGAATGCAGAATAAGAACCACTAAAAAACCTCCAGTATCCTGTGTGCTACCAGCATTCTGGTCCCCAGTCAAAAAGGAAGACACAGGAAGAACAGGAACCTTCAATTACCAGTAGGTAAAAAATAAGAGCTTTGATGATGCAATAGGTTAGACACTAATCTTACTATTTACATCCTTACCTATAAGAAAGATTAACAAACATACATGGCTAAGTGGGGTTTGTGAGGGGTTGATAACCTGTTTCCCTCCGTCAACTTGCTAGTATCTACTCAAGCCCAGTAAAGAAAGAGAAATAAGTTATATGGTAAAAAACTGTCTCATTCCACTCGGTGAGGATGAATTAACAAAGCAGATTGATAATAACTGAGACACTCTAAAGTAAATAATTTGCGTACCTTTTCTTATGCAGAGCAGAAATAGAAGCACTGATCCAACAAAAGCAGTTGCAATGAGAGTTGCTCCAACAAAGCGTCTGCTCTTAGTCTGGAGAACGCCATCAGTTGAATCTTCAAGAAAAACAGGTGGGAGATAAGACATTACATAATTGCCTAGGATCCTCCCTTTGCCTTTCATTTTCATTGTATTATTTTTGCTATGAGCAATTAAGACATAATAACAACTTCATAGATTGTGTCTAAGGTCAGGTGTTAATGGTGTACATAACACTTTTTTTAAATAAGGCGGGGGGAAGATAGAACATATTAATATTTTTCTCTGTTCTCTGCATTCCATGTGATAGTGCCTTTGATCCCATCAGAATCCTGCTTGTCAAAGTGTTACATCTGGCTTAGTTTCCCATCAGGATTACACGAAAAAGGTAATTGAGAAAGAGGACACAGGTCCTTTCATCTGGTAATGATTGCTCCAGATGGAAAGGGTAAGTGGTCTCCTTGAATCCCAGATATTTTTCTTGTTAAAATCAGACTTGCCCATTGAAAGAATTACTTGGTTTTCTCACTCTAAACATGGCTGTTTCAAACCCTTGTCGTGTCCAAAAAGCATGACTGCACAGGTGTTCTTAAAACTAGATGGTGAACTGCATCAGGGAAATGACCTCAGTAACAGTCTGACAAAGAGAAATACTGTTTTTGAGTTGGATTGGGTCTCCTGTCTGGTTGAAAACATATCAGGCTACAATGCAGAAAAGAATAATCAAAAGCAAAAGCAGAAGAGGAGCTGCCCAGTTAAAAGTTTAATTAGGAATTGTATTGGTCTTGTCCATTTAGGAGTTTTCCTTTAATTCTGACTTTATGAGGGAAAAAAAATCTGTATACAAGTACTTAAATTTAAATATGCTCAAAGCAAAGGCTGTACTGGCAGGAAAAGACCATATTGTTTAAGTTTATGTGACAGTAATCATCAACAAACTAGAATAATCTTGAAAGATGGAAGGATTTAATTTTCAGATGCTGAGTTAAATGTCTTCCAAATAATGGAACTTTTAAAAGATTTAGACTCAATTTCCAGATACCTGCAGGTCACACAAAATTCCTGTCTTTTAATTCTGACCATACATGCATGATGAACATGTTAGTATGGTGAAAGAATACATTAATAACAAAACTTAATGACACAGGTATTTCTGTCTAGCCTCTTCAAAATTTGGAAAAAGAAACAAATCATAGCTAATTCGACTGGGATAAAATTACATTAGCACCTTGAAGTGTATTACCATAAATGAAATTCTGAAGTGTTACCTGCTAGGTGTAAAATGGCAGTTGTATTTTCTTGCAGCTCTTTATTCCAGAATATACAGTAAAAAATGTCATCAATTCCACTTTTGATTGTGAGGGTACTTGTCACACGGTACAACTGGTCATTTGCAGTTTCAAATTTTGTGTTTGCCTTATAAGTCAAATCTTCGTAGTTTCTATTTTGCCATATCACTTCAGCTGCTGGGTATCCTTCTGACTGACATGTCAACTTCCATTCGTTGTGTCCTGTGCTCACCACACCTTGGTTTATAATTCTGTAAGGAGCTAAACAATTGGGGAAAAAAATCATTACCAATAGGAAGCTAGAAGAACAGCCTGTATTAAAGGAAAGACACCTTTTCTTTTTCCCCAGCCCCCAGGGTCAAGTTTCAGCTTGGATTTTGACAGGAAAGGTAAGTAACACTATTGAGTCTGTAACTGGAGGTACCGGATTTATTACAAATTTGATGTGGCTTAGAAAGCTCATTAGGCTTTATGGTCTTTGTACTCTACACATGATTTGCAACCTGATTCCTTACATGTCATGGCAGGTTTAAAGGACAGAACACGGATTCAACCTAAACAGAAGCCTAAGTTACACAGCTGTGCAAGCACCATCAGACAGCTCCTGTCTCCAATTAGGTTTCTTTAACTGCTAATCCAGATATATCTTACTTCAGGATCGCCTCTGAAATCTTTTAAGAGTATCACAATATTGAACCTCTGATAGTAGCATACTCACCCTTAACTTGAAGGTGGATTGTCTTGTAGTCAGCTCCCCCATAGGCAACAACACAGCGGTAAATTCCTGCATCTCTGAGCTTCACGTCAGTGATCTGAAGGACAGACTGTCCCAAGTTCAGATTCTCTTTCAACAATTTTATTCTTCCCTTAAAGTCATTGTGCTGATTTTTGAGGTCTTCCTCTCCTTTGCGAAGTACATAAACCTGCTTCAACTCATCTTTCTTATCCCAGCTGACACTTAAATCTCTAAACTCTAACTTCCCATTCACTGGAAATGTGCATTCCATGGTCACATTGTTCCCGCGTTCCACAATGCAGAGTGACTGAGGAGCTTCAACTGTGAATAAAGCTGAAAAACAAAATTTGGAAGAAAACTTAGTTTTTAAATAAGACACCTAATCTTTAAAGTCATGTCTTACCATATCCATAGGAAATTTTAAGGACCAAAGTACATTCTCTGTTCTGAAAAGTTAAACATTTTGGTATGTAGTTGTCCAAGTACGTGATAAAACACAAGACCTCTGCTGTATACACACACAATGAGCACTCATATCTGCAGACACCTGCTTTGTGTACACACACAGTGCGATGCTGTACTAAAAACAGTGAACTGTATATGCCATCAACTGTTGCTTTGAGAAAACTCTGTTGTGGTAACAGGCAAACGTTAGCAATGGGAATGTTCTTTTTATATAAATGCCAATTGTTTTTTACGCACAATGTTAAAGAATACACAACATTTCCCAAGTCTGATAGAGTCTAGAAAACCTTTGGTGTAATGCTAATGGTACCTTGTTTGAAAAGGTGCCTCTGCTGGAACACTGACAGGGATTTTAACCTGGCCCCATATCAAAATACATGCATCTGGTTTAATGTAAAGCTATGCTTAGACCTTTTCACTTAAAGCATTAAGGGAAAAAACCTCAAATGCTAGCAGCTGAAGGAAAACTGGAGAAATTAACATTTCTGTGCTTATACATGGAAAGAAAACACACCAAAATAGTTCTACTGCTTTTTACGGCTTCTTACCATTTAGGAAATGCCAGTAGAATAAAAATACATACAAAAACAAAGGCCTTCCCATGATGCAGATGGAACCTAAACCAATAAAAAAATAAGACAAATATAAATAAATACTCATTTTCTGAGTTGCACTGTCAAATACACTTCATAGCAATCCACACAAAGAATTGGACAGGAGACACTGGATCCCACCCTATTTAAGAACAGGATGAAACTGCACCCAGTAGATAATCAGGCAGAAATCTTCCTGAATGGGTGGGTCCAGGAAAAACATCTTACTTTATTTGCTTTAAACATCTGTTCTTGACAGATGGCTAAATAAATCCTTTATCATTATCTGTTGATAAGTGAATAAGTACTCACAAATACCCAGTTGTAGCCTAACTATAGCAGGGAATGTTGCTCCCATTAGGAGAATGAAAGAATTTTCTATACTGTCAGTGCAGGAAATAGAACTTGGTTCTTCCCCACCTGTTCATTTTATTTTAACATACTGTGAATACACCCTGCTTTTTTACCCTAGTCCCACAGTACATACCAGAAGGCTCACAAAGTTACATATATTGTGAAAACAATTCATGAGGTGGTTCATTTCATAACATGTATTTACGCAGTAACAACTCTGAATCAACCGTTCACACAGTAGTGCCTTTGTAAAACAGTGACAAAGCCAGTCAATCTACAAGCAGAATCTATTGCATTGAATTTCTGCTGCTTTACATCTGAATACAAAAGTCATTTCACTTTTCTGTCAGAAGTTTTTCCCCTCTTTACTGACATAGGCTTTATAGTCCTACACAACATTTTAACATTTTAAAATGCTTATTAATATTGACTCATACATTTAATCTTAACACACCCACTGCTTTTGGTAAGTCTGTATTTTAAGCCATAAACGCAGAAAATGGTAATTTTTTTCTAAATAAAGTTCTAATTTTGGACCCACAAACATTCACCAAAATAAGGAAGGATTGCCTTTAGCTATTTTCTAGTGGTAGTTTCAGAATCTGTATAAGAAATTAGACAACTGTAATGCTCATGACACTTCCTAACTGATGAAACTCTATCTTGACTGCCATTCTTCACAATTTTTATGTTTCATCCTTCCTTCTCTGATTGTCAACTTTAAGATGACAGTGAAAAAACAATTTTGTCTTGAATTCATAAGACACATGTGCCCTTACTGTGCTGTGGCTTAAGGGAACTAGACTCCTTATAACAATTTGATTCAAATTACTTCTTTTCCTCAGACTGCTGCTGCCTGATCCCAATCCCAACAGCTGATTTGCAGCAAGCACTGCATATGGAGCTGAGAAAGGAAGGCAATCCATTACATTGTTAACAATGTAAGCATAATCTAAAAATAGGCACAGGAAAAATTCAAAGAAGACTCTCAGGGCGCAAGATCTGATTAATTGATAAATCCTAGGCTTCAAAAAGTAGTTAGGTACCAGACTTACTCCTTAGCCACAAGTGATGTCCTTGAAAGCACTAGAAAATTGCAGCCCAATCCTGTGGGTCCCCAAGAGTTTCTCTGAATGTGTATGCATCAGTATGCCTCCATCATGATTCCCCTGCTAGAGTAACAAGCACTCCAGACCACCAACTAAGCTCCAACGTAAAGCTTCTCCAACGAGATAGAGGTATACCCATCACACAAAAGTACCATAATCACCCTTACTCTGGAGACAAGCCTACCACTGAGACTGACTGGGTATTGTGCACTCCCCCTATCAGAATGACCAGAGTTGCAGCACACTCAGACTCAAAATACTTTCTTTTTTTTTTTTTTTTTTTCTTTGTTTTAAAGTAGTGGCTGTAGACTGCTCATAACAAAGCAGACTGCTTGAACTAGTACACTGCTTGGAACAAACAGTATGTGCTCTACAGTCAGGAAAGATACCCATACTCCTGCCTGCAACCCCTATCCACCTTTTTAAGGTGGAAAACTTCACCTTAAAAATCACAGGAAAACTAAGTACTGGCATGATGTCCAGGAGGGGTGCTCTGATTAACTCCTGGAAGACAGACAGCAAGTTATAGTCCCAAGACCCATGTTTATGTCCTACAATTGCTGACACTTATTAGAATGCCTTCTCCCACTGTAGAGGAAAACAAGCTTTACAATACACAAAAGAAGTATGACTATTACTTACAAATTTCCTCAAGACTGAGAAAGTTTGCAGCTGTATTCAATTTTTCACTTTCAGAGGGGAAAAAATGCAGGTCCAGGTCAAATCCAGGTGCACATGCAAAAAGAAAACCACTTCAATAACCATTATAGAACCTTCTCTTGTTTTACCCTGCGCAGAAGAATCCTCTGGATAGTCTGAGACCTTGACATCAATCAAAGTCCTTTACTAAAGCTTGCTATTTTTCTTACAGTACCTACCACAGTGTCTTTTCTGTCCTCCTGCCAGCTTCCAACATCTGTGGAAGTTTTTTAAAAGCAAATTATATTCTAAACTGTACAAATTGCTCCTCAGTACTGCTGCTGCACGTTTCTGCCACAATCAAATAAAAATGACAGGAAAAACCAGAACTATCTGTCAAAAGACTTCATGTGACAACTTAAATGTTGATGTAAGTACACCTACTTCTTTAGGAAACTTCCCCATTATTGGAAAGTTCCCCAGCAGGGAAAATTCTGTATTGCTAACAGTGGTTCACTGTAACCAAACAGACAAATGCTGCAAAAATTTGAACATAAAATGCCATGGGCATTTTAAAAACACATAATCTAATCAAAGCTATGTGTAAGTACTAGTCCTTGGAATACCAATTGCAGGTGGTCATCCGTCTACACATACTCAGGGTCCCTAGATTATAAATCTCAAGCCACGCCAAAAAGCTGCTAACAATTAGAACTTTCCACACAATTTTTTCATGTCCGTAAAGGTCATAGGAATAGAAATAACGTAGGAATAACAGGAAAAGCATTTCCTACCCTCCTCTTGTAAAGACAGATATTCTCTTCCCAAGATTTGGACACAGTGAAGGCCACTTGCCTTGCTACTGTGTAGTGAAAAAAGAGTTCTTAATCCTATGTACTATGCTAGCAAAAAATAGAGAGTACTGTCTTTTTCATTTTCTTGATTCTAGAAGTCCTTTAATAACACAGAACCCCCCTCCCCACTCAAGCATTAGAAGCAAAAGGATGAACTCACATTAACTTGTAGACTGTAGAGGCAGAAACGAGTCAACAGCACAAAATACAACTCTAACCATATGTTTCAGTGTAAATTCCTTCTCTTAAGTTGTCTTCACATACATCAGAAAAAGGTTGAAATTCTCAGAGTTAAAATACTGTAAAATGAATGCTCTAAAAATTTTCACTGTTTTCTTCTTTCCACTTGACAGCCTGCTCACAGTATCTGTCATGGAAGAAAAAACACGTAATGTACAAAACTGATAAGGTTCATGGTTTTACTTGATGTGTGAGATGAATGTGGAAACCGTGGTATATAAAATAGCTGAATGTAACATTTAGGTTGTAACAACTTGAAACTACCTTAGGAGATTGAGGAGGTGGATATTCGCAGTAGGTGAGACCGATAAATGTTAATTTCCACTGGTTTTTTGCTGCTGTTAAAAACAGGCTAAATTATATTGAATCAGTAAAGGAAAAAAAAAAAAAAAAGGTGTAACAGAAAGAAACTGAAACACATTTATTAAATACCGTGAGATCACAGAAGCCACCTTTCAATGTAGTGACCTTTCAATGTCAGGAAATTCAGGAAATTAGTTACTGCTTTTTCACTGCTTACCTTGAGGTCACAGGGTTGCATTTTTCATGTAAATTTTTAGCAGCAAATAAATGACCAGGACAGGTGGTGTTTTGTTTTGTTAAGTTTCTTTTTGTTCTTATTGTTTATTTTTGTTGTCTATACACATATACTCCTATATATATACAATACACACACATATACACATCTACATGCACACAAGCACATTTTACTGCACAGTTCCATACTGCTGTGGTGGAGTTTGAGTTTTGGGGGTTTTTCACCTGTTTTGCCGAACTTCCCAGACACCTATCTCACTCAGTCCTGCCTGCCACCGGGCATTCCCAAGCAGACGCCTCCAGGGAGCACGCCCCCGGGCAGGCTCGGGTGGCCGCCGGTGCCGTGCTCACCTCAGGCTGGGATGAGGCCGGTGCAGCACCGGGACGGGCTCGGGCCGCCGGCAGCCCCGCGCCCCGCACTGCCGCCGTTCGGCTCCTCCCTGCCTGGGGCTCTCTCCGCGGCCGCCGCAGCTCTGCGGAGCGTCTCCCGCCCCATCTCGGCCAGGCCTCTGTCGGACCAGGTGTGCTACGCCCCGGCCCCGGCCCCGGCCCCGGCCCCGGCCCCGGCCCCGGCCCCGGCCCCGGCCCCGGCCCCGGCCCCGGCCCCGGCCCCCCCGCTACGGCTGCGCCGGGCGCGGCAGTGCCGGGAAGTGCTCCCCGCCGCGGCCCTTCGCGGAAGGCCGTGCCGAAAACCCCCGCGCCGTGCTCCTGCGCCTCACCTTTCCCAGCGCTTCAGCTGTGGCGGAGCAGGGAGTTCTCTAGGCAACTTCTCTGTTCCTGAGAGCCGTGAGCTCTAAACAACAAAACCAAAAGCGACATCAGTACTGCCTCACCCTGCGTCTGTTGCCTGTCCTTAATCCTTTCTTTTTCAACATGGTGAGATCATTTATTGTAAACGGATCGCTTGCACTTTCTGAACGAATGCATTTCCATTATTCATGCGGAGGACTGGAAATGACACAGTGTCCAGGATATCCATGAATTCCCGGAGCTATGTCCTGCTTCTCTAGAGAAAAAGAAGTAATTTATTTTAATAGCTCTGTTCCCTGCCACTTAAAGAGCCTTCTGGGAAACAACCTCCAATTTAATGATAATACAATCTGGACATTCAGTGTTGTGTATAGTTTTTATGCTGCGATAATGTTTCTTATGTTATGAAACATAACAAGATCAGCCATAACTTTTCTGCGAGAAAGCAACCCTGAAATAAGAATATTACTCTGGACATTACCAAAGAACCAAAGAGTGGTTATGAGAGTGTTTTATTAATGAGTGTATTTACAGGGTAAAATATAAGTCAAATACAAAATTGTGATACATGGTAGCATACACGTCTAAGAAATGTGTACTGAAGGAGGGGAAGGACACTGAAACCCCTGTGCTCTCTATACCCTAAGCATCAGGTACTGCCACCTGCAGTATGAAGTTAATGGTTTTGTGGGCCATAAGCCAGCAGGTGTTTGAGAAACCACAAGAATCCCTACCTGGAAGCCATTGGGTTTTCTGTTGATACAGCACATTGATGTGGAGGTTTTTAACAGCAATCGGTTTAATTGTGTTCAAATCTTCCAAAAACACATAACATGAGTCCCTCAGAAAGGAGAATGTAGATATTAGGTTATGCAATAAAAACTCCTCTGCACATCCCTCACACAGACAGACAAAGACTGCTGTCCCTGCTGCTTCCAGGCCCTTCCCATGGGCTATCAGCCCAACAGAGACATATATCCACAAGCACAGAGAAGCACAGAGGTCTCAAGGCAGGTAGGATCCCAAACAGATGACTTAGAGGAAGCTCATATTTTAAGAAGCTTCAAATTGTTTAGCAATAAACATGTAAAGGGCAAATTTACTTACACAACTATGTGGTGTACATGAGTTACAAAAGAGTCATAAAACCAGACAAAATAATCGTAAGCCAAGCTATGAAGTTTCTTTTCAGTAAGAACAAAAAATGACTGCAAAAACATTCCCAGAATGAAGTGGAAGCTTCTAGTTTATGATAAATGCTTTAAGTTAACTAAGAAGACCAGTAACATAGGGACTTCCCCTACAACAAACAAAAAATGCTGTGTCAAAGCTACAGGCTTATCTTAGTTCTGTGTAGCTGCTAGGATTTTCCTTCACACCGTTTCTATTTTCAAAAGTCAAAGAGTAAAACAAAAAAATAGGTAAAAATCTACAAGGTTGCAATAATCTTTCTTCATTAATGTAAAATATTAGAAGTCTGGATTGTTTTGCTGAACATTCATTCCTAAAATGTAAAAGGAAAAGTTACTCTTACAAGTTAAATAATTAGTTATTATGGGGTTAAAATGTCTTATGGTCATCTATGTTTACAGTCAGTACACTTCTGACATACTTAAGTAAATATACTGTAAAACAAGGAAATTGGCTTGCTAAATACTACAAATTCAGGACATTGGTCTTCAATTTATTTCTTCAGTTTCTTTCAAACCTACTGTTTTGATTGATAAATTTTGGAATTCAATTTTGTAGATAATCTTTCAATTTCAATTAAATCAGTCTGGCAGACTGATATAGATACAGCCTACTTTCCAGATACTAGCTCTGCAAGCTCTCTCTAGCATAATATGTTTCCTTCTCAATCTGGATTATATAATTGAAGAGAATAATGAATTGTTTAATATTCAAGTCATTATGGTAGAATTCAAACTGATTCACCCATGTGCATTACATATAAAGATAAGAGGAAGAACACTTGCTTTCTTTCAAATATTTCTTCTAGTTCTAATTCTGTGTTCCTCTTTCTTCCTTATCATGTAAAAATCACAAATAAATTACCTAATAAATATCTGCATCAGCTCAAATTATAACTATTTCAGTTTTTACTTGACTCTTTTTTTTTTTAAATTAGGTATCACAGTCAGCATTTCCAAGGTTCAATCATTTTTGGACCAGCTCTTTGTGGAGAAAATACGCCTTATAATTTAAATATTATTTTTAAAAATATGATAAGAACAAGGGAGACATGACTGCCTGTCTAATGGATACCAGATTTGTGTTACTTTGAAATGTCTTTATCACTTTGCGTGGCTCTTTTTTAATGGCAGCAATACCTGTTGCTTTCTGGACTAGAGAAATACTGCCTACCTCCAGAAATGCTGACAATCTAACAGCACCATGCAATATATGATGCTGTCTGATTTTTAACTCTCCATACCATGACCTGACAGACTGAGAATTAGAACAGGAGAGGCTATATTCCCCAGTGTGGTGCCATGAATATTTATAATATCAGTGAAATCACATAATTCAAGCCACAAGTGGTACCAACCAAGAGAGGCAAGAGCTGCAGCCCCTGCTGCAAGTGGGCTCCTGCCAGTGTTTGAAGTCTGATGTAGCTCAAGCCAGTCTTCCTTCCACAGGCAAGAATCACAATGGTTTCTTATGCCCTATGGAAACTAATCTCCATTCTCCATGCTACTTCTTAAGTCCTAGATCCTTTCTTCAGAAACCTGTACTGTTTTTCCAGCAAAAAGTCACAGTTCTGCTCCTCCACCTCTCCCTTATCTATTCCTGTATTATCGAAATCTGCTGCCCCATCGTGCTAACCCCTCCATAGAAAGCAGATCTCTGTGACACAGAGGTTTGCCAGGGCTGCACTACAGAGGTCTACTGTACTCTGAAACTCCTTTCTCCTCAAGGAAAGATTTGGACAGACCAAAGTGGTTTGCTTGGTTGCAAGGGGCTCGGTGGGTGAAGTGGATGGTATCTTTGGTAAGCTGCTTTGAAAGAATGTTATAGTCTCACAAATTTATCAATCACAATTCTCTCTGATGAAGTCTTGTTAAATACCTGTCAGTGGCTGCCAGTGCAGTAGTGCCATCTTGAGTGGAGCTGGAGTATACCAACAAGTTTCTCCCCTGGATCTCTGCTGCATCAGAGATCTAGGAGAGAAATTAAATACTTGTTGAATACTTCAAAAAGTCACAGACATTTTCAAAATATCACTACAATAATTCAAGTTCTTGGAAGTTCTTTACTTCAAATTTTTACTTCAAGTAAAAATGCTAAGCAAGTTTCCACAAGAGAAAAATATTTTTTCCTTACTTTTTTGTCATTTTTGCTCTACCAGTAAAAAAACAAAAGGAAAAATGGAAAGACAGCTGTCTTCTTAGTATTTTTTAAACCAAGCTATTTGGAAAATGCCTGAATTTAGAAAATAAATATCGTCAAAAACAGCATTTGCAAATCAAGATATCAGCAAATTGAAGGTGTAGACAGTTTCTGGAAAAATATTAATTCTTGCAATAAGACAAGATGTCAAATTGCACTGTGAGGTGGTGTTCAAAGTGCTGTGTATCCTCACAGACTCAAGTTGGAAAACTGAACGAGATACTCTTTAGTGCCAAAAGAATTCTGGATATTAGAGCATGCTGTTAATATTATCAGGGCTGTAGATTTGATCTCCATATTGGCCATTCACTTAAGAGTCAGACTTGATTATCCTTGTGGGTCTCTTCCAACTCAGAATATTCTGTGATTTTATAATTCTAGCACTTATTTGTATTACTGTTTTAAAGGCCAAGTGACAGATCATAATTTCTGACTCAGTATTTTTAAGTATGAAAATTTAGTTAAAAATACTGAGTCAGAAATTTAAGTATGAAAAGTATGAAAATTTAGTTTCTTTGGATTTCAAAGCCAGCCTGTAATTACGGATGATGATGTCATGAAAACATTCTGACACATGATGAAAGGTGGAGCAAGATAAGAAGCGTTAAGCACCAAGTTAATGGGAGTTCATTCTTTTGCTTCTAATGCTTGAGGGAGGAGGGGGGAAGCTTGGAAACCTACTTTGAAAAGTACATTTATGTTGAAGTTGAGCTGTGTTACTGAGCTGTTCTTAACACTGCAGTGTTAAGAAACATGTATATGTTAAAGTGAATATGTTATAATGGAGTTGCTAAAACATGGATCTTATACTCTTAAAATATATGAGTTAAATATGTTTCAACTCTCCCACCATTAAAAAATCTTTTGAACAGTTCTTTCTTTAAGTTCAATCTGGTAGCTGCAGCTGAATTTTTCTAGAAACCTCAGAATAGGGCATGGGGATGTTTTATTCCCACTCATAAAATAAGAAAATAACTACAGAGAAAAAGGAAAACCATTTTGATTAGGGCTCAGAAAGTTGTGCTGAACAGACATACAGTATAGCACTAGCTTTCTGATTTATTGTTAAATATCTTGTAACTTACTCATAATATTTATATGCCAAGTGCTGGAATGCAATCTGCAGGATTTAACTGGAGTCCGTTCCTTTAGTTTTGCATTTAAATTGAACACAAGTATAATTTTCTAGAATGTTTCAAGTAGTGATGGATGAACTTCCAATTTACTAAATTGCCAGTAGATGGCGTATTCTAGTTTATAAAGCAGTGTGCAGTAGTAGGTTTTGTAGGATCACAAGTAAACTCTGAACGTGACCTAAGAAGAAGAAACATAGCATCAAGAAAGATTATATAATAAAAGAGTGGATAACTCTTAAGTGTTC